TTTTAATTTTTTTTATTTTTTGGCAGAATGAAGGCATTTTTCATGAAAATAATCGTGCAGAACTACAGTTTTAGTGCATATGAGCGACTTCCTTATTGAATTTTACGAAAACATGAGCATAATTTATTCTTAAAGATCGACATAGGTTAGTATGTCATTTTTGTCAAAATCAAACCACGTTTCCTGCCAGTATTTTTCTTTATAAAACAATGGGCCGTACTGAGGCGAGCCCATTCACGTGAATTTCATTGAAATTCCTGGATGGGTTATCCTGATTTTTTTCAGAATAAAGGAATTTTTCATGAAAATAATCAGGCAGAACTACAGTTTTAGTGCACACGAGTGAATTCTTCATTGAATTTTCCGACAACATGAGCACAATTTTTTCTTAAAAATCGGCGTAGGTTAGTATGTAATTTTTGTCAAAATCGAACCACATTTCTTGCCAATCTTTTTTTTTATGAAACAATGGGCCGTACTGAGGCGAGCCCATTCACGTGAAATTCATTGAAATTCATGGATGGGTTTTCCCCATTTTTTTCAGAATAAAGGAATTTTTCATGAAAATAATCAGGCAGAACTACAGTTTTAGTGCACACGAGTGAATTCTTCATTGAATTTTCCGACAACATGAGCATAATTTTTTCTTAAAAATGTCATTTTTGTCAAAATCGAACCACATTTCCTGCCAGTATTTTTCTTTGTAAAACAATGGGCCGTACTGAGGCGAGCCCATTCTCGTGAAATTCATTGAAATTCCTGGATGTTTTTTTTTATCAATTTTTTTCAGAATAAAGGAATTTTTCATGAAAATAATCAGGCAGAATTACAGTTTTAGTGCACACGAGTGAATTCTTCATTGAATTTTCCGAAAACATGAGCATAATTTTCGTCCTAAAAATCGACGTCATTTTTGCATGTAATTTTTGTCAAAATCGAAACACATTTCCTGCTCGTATTTTTCTTTATAAATACAATGTGCCGTACTTAGGCGAGCCCATTCTCGTGAAAAGCATTGATATTTTTGAGTTCTTTAGAATTTTTCAAGAACTATCTGGATTTTGATTTAAAGTTTTCGTGACTGCAGTAATTCATATTCTATATATATATTATTGTTTCCCTTCAACGTGACTTTACCGAAAGAGCTAAGAATATAACTGTCTGGATGTTTATTTTTATTTTTTGGCAGAATAAAGGCATTTTTCATGAAAAGAATCGGACAGAACTATAGTATTAGTGCATATGAGTGACTTCTTTATTGAATTTTCAGATAACATGCGCATAATTTTTTCTGAAAAATCGACGTAGGTTAGTATGTCATTTTTGTCAACATCGAACCACGTTTCCTGCCAGAATTTTTCTTTGTAAAACATTGGGCCGTACTTAGGCGAGCCCTTTCTCGTGAAAAGCATTGACATTTTTGCGTTCTTTAGAATTTTTCAACAACTACCCGGATTTTTATTTTTGTCTGAAATCCTGCGGCCTTTCACTGGAAAAAAACCAACTCTGCGGTACAAAATTCTACTCACCTGGTATCGACAATCAAGGGTATTTCCCTGTCCCCAGACGACCTGCTTGTCAAATTTGATGTAGTTTCCTTATTCACCAAAGTTCCTGTACCTGACACCATCGCAATCATTTAAGACTTGGTTCATCAAGGACTAAACACTGAGGTACCCCCCTTGGTGAGACACTGTTTAACCAATACATACTTCACTTGGAATGGAACTTTCTACAAACAAACTGAGGGCACCCCAATGGGCTCCTCCCTATCTCCGGTTATAGCTAACATTTTCATGGAGAAATTTGAGACTGACGCCATCCAGACTGCCACTCTGCGCCCAACCTTGTGGAAGAGGTACGTGGATGACACTTTTGTCATCTGGCCACATGGCCGGCCTGCTCTAGACCAATTCTTCGACCACATCAATTCCATACACCCAGCCATCAGATTTACCATGGAAGTCGAAAAAATGGCAAGCTACCTTTTTTGGATGTCCTAATAAAAAAGAGACCTGATGGTTGAATGAGCCACTCTGTCTACAGGAAAGCTACCCATACGGATGCTTATCTGAAACCGGATTCCCACCACCATCCATCACAGAAGAATTCTCTCATCAAGACTCTGTACCATAGAGCCCAATGCCTATCCGACCAGGAACACATAGGCAGTGAACTCAAGCACGTACACCAAGCTCTTAAGGCTAATGGTTACTCCGACTATACAATCCGCAAAGCTATCACTCAAACCATGAAGAAGGACCCTTCTTTGGTTCTTTCGGTAAAGTCACGTAGAATGAGAATAAAATAATAAATTGATAAAATAAAATAACACAATAATATTCTCACGACGTTTCGGCCACAACACAAGCAGCCTTCATCAGGTGAAGGGGACGAGACTGTCTGGAGGACAGCGCTGGAGTGAGAAAGCCACGCTGAGATCACGACCTTTAAGCTGTGTGAGAAGAAACAAAGCGCCTTGACAAAGTAATTAGCATATAATTTAGCATTGAAATGGCTGATTGATTATCTTGTGACTGGTCACAGAAAAGGCTATGTTAAAGTTAAAGCATACACATCCGCAAAGGCACCCCTTGACAAAGGAATTAGCATAGAATTTAGCATTGAAATAGCTAAGTTAAAGTATACACATCCGCAGAGGCACTCTTTGACAAAGGAATTCGCATAGAATTTAGCATTGAAATAGCTGAGTGATTAGCTTGTAACTGGTCACAGAAATAGCTATGTTAAAGTCAGAGCATACACATTCACCGAGGTACCTAGTACAAATCAAACAGGAGAATTTAGCATTGAAATAACTAGGCGAATTTAGCATTGAAATAACTGAGTGATTAGCTTGTGACTGGTCACAGAAATGGCTATGTTGAAGTTAAGGCCTACACATCTGAGCTATTCACAGTAACTGGGTATACAATACAATATATAATGAATACTATATAGTGAACCAATAAAAAATACTACAATATAAATCACCTCAATGTTATCAATAAACTCTATATTCTCCAATCAGCTAAGCTACCAACAATAAGGCGTTCACAACAATAAGGCGTTGTTGGTAGCTTAGCTGATTGGAGAATATAGAGTTTATTGATAACATTGAGGCAATTTATATTTTAGTATTTTTTATTGGTTCACTATATAGTATTCATTATATATTGTATTGTATACCCAGTTACTGTGAATAGCTCAGATGTGTAGGCCTTAACTTCAACATAGCCATTTCTGTGACCAGTCACAAGCTAATCACTCAGTTATTTCAATGCTAAACTCGCCTAGTTATTTCAATGCTAAATTATCCTGTTTGATTTGTACTAGGTACCTCGGTGAATGTATATGCTCTGACTTTAACATAGCTATTTCTGTGACCAGTTATAAGCTAATCACTCAGCTATTTCAATGCTAAATTCTATGCTAATTCCTTTGTCAAGGAGTGCCTCTACAGATGTGTATACTTTAACTTAGCTATTTCAATGCTAAAATCTATGCTAATTCCTTTGTCAAGGGGTGCCTTTGCGGATGTCTATGCTTTAACTTTAACATAGCCTTTTCTGTGACCAGTCACAAGCTAATCACTCAGCCATTTCAATGCTAAATTATATGCTAATTCCTTTGTCAAGGCGCTTTGTTTTTTCTCACACAGCTTAAAGGTCGTGATCTCAGCGTGGCTTTCTCACTCCAGCGCTGTCCTCCAGACAGTCTCGTCCCCTTCACCTGATGAAGGCCGCTTGTGTTGTGGCCGAAACGTCGTGAGAATATTATTGTGTTATTTTATTTTATCAATTTATTATTTTATTCTCATTCTACGTGACTTTACCGAAAGAACCAAAGAAGATGAATACTTCCAGTCACGAAAGCTTTAAATCGAAAAAGGACCCTCTTGAGGAGCCTTTCAAAACCATCACTTTACCCTACATTGCAGGGATCACAAAAAAGATCTCCAAAATCTTGAATAAACACAAGATCCAGGTCGGTTTCAACACATTACATAAAATCCGTGATCTGGTTCCGTCTGTAAAAGATGTGATTCCGGACATACAGTACCCTAGTGTCTACAAACTAAGTTGCCTCTGTGGTAGTAGTTACATTGGAGAAACCAAACGCCATGTCTCGGACCGCATTCGTGAACACAAAGCAGACCTTAAACACGGTAGGACCAACACCTCGGCCGTGACAGATCACTGTTATAATTCAGTAGGCTCACATGACATTGACTTCTCCAAGACAGAGGTTCTTTGTAAGCCATCTGGCTACCATGAGAGATTCGTTCATGAGGCTATCCACATATACAAGCACAGAGACAATTTCAACCGAGAAGATGGATTCTGGCTTAGCAATCATTGGAAGGATTTGATAACCATTTCAGGTCTTAATTGATTGTTCACGCTTACGGTGGCTTTCAGACAGCATACATTAATTTTTCGTCTCCCCCCCTCCTCTTTTCAGAACATAGATGGACTCGTCCTTCTAAATAAACTAGTAAATAAATGCACCGTTTAAAAATAAATAAGTAAATGCACCGTTTAAAAATAAATGCGAACCGCCACTTCTTTCAAATGTTTCTTGCCGTTGGTTTTTCACACCTGATGATGACCGTTTGTGTAATTGTCGAAACGTCGTGAGACTTTTTATTGTTTTATTATATATTTTATTATTTTATTGTTTCCCTTCAACGTGACTTTACCGAAAGAGCTAAGAATATGAACTACCTGGATGTTTTTTTTCCAATTTTTTCAAAATAAAGGATTTTTTATGAAAATAATCAGGCAGAACTACAGTTTTAGTACACATGAGTGAATTTTTTATTGAATTTCCGAAAACATGAGCATAATTACTTCATATAAATCGACGTCATTTTTGCATGTCATTTTTGTCAAAATCGAACCACATTTCCTGCCAGTGTTTTTCTTTGTAAAACAATGGGCCGTACTGAGGCGAGCTCTTCTCGTGAAATTCATTGAAATTCCTGGATATTTTTTTACATTTTTTTCAAAAAAGGAATTTTTATGAAAATAATCAGGCAGAATTAGTTTTAGTGCTCTGCACAGATGGATCCGCGTACACCTGCATGCTCCATCGACGGTCGCCATCAAATACCATCATGTTTCCGAACTTTCCAACTTCAGGGTGAATCGCCAAACCCTTTCCTACGGCAGGGAGAGGATCTGGTAGTGCTCGTAGAGGCACTGCGAGATGTCATACACCTTCACGATTGCCGGTACCGTTTCTCCCAGCATGGCCAGAACCTCCTTCTCGGGGCCCGCTCCCAGCCGGGCCAGGAAGACCTGGCGGGTGGGCAGCGTGCGGAATGCCAGGGCCGAGGCCCTGCGCACCAGCCACGGGTGATGCTGAGCGAGAGAGGCCCCGTACGCCTCGGCGCACAGGACGGAGGGCCGCTCCGAGGACTCGTCGCTCATGCGCAGCTTCTCCAGGAACAGGTGCAGCCATAACAGCGCGCGGTGCAGGCGCAGGAAGTCGCGGCAGCCCGAGTGTACGTGGCCGGGTGCTGCAGAGAATGCCGGAGTGCGGGCCACCTCCAGTCGGGCCATGGCCTGTAGGGTGCGGTAGTTGTGCGCCTCCTCTCTGTCGAGCAGGCCCTGCAGGATGTTGATCTTCGTTGCCGCGTCCCTCGAGATGAAGGAGAAGACAGCGCCCAGGCCGTTAATGAACCTGCAGCAGCGCGGACACGGCGAGGTGTGGCGAGGTGGAGTGGGGTGGCGTCCAGGAAACCCGCACCAAATCTCACGACTCGTTGTTAGAAGGGTCCTGCCAACTTTTCGCAGTAAGGAGGTGATGATTGCCATGTAGAAAATTAGGCCAAAATGGCAACATTGTGGGTCCTGGTCAAAACTCCGTTCCACAGAGCTCTGATCATGGGCATCTAACAGCTGCAGTCACTGTGGTCACACGTCACTGTCACATTCACCCGCCATGAATGCACCTGATCTCGTCGGATCTCACAAGGTAAGCGGGGTCGAGTCTGGTCAACTGCTTGGAAGAGGTTACCCCCTGGCGTGTGTGTGTTCTCTCTGGCAATTCCAGTTTCCTCCCACATGCCAACACCACACTTCTGCGAGCCGACCCCGCCAGTCACCCATAGCATGTCATCACTTACAGCCGTGTCACAATCAGGACTTAATTTCATCCAGATCTGTCTAGATAAGCGGCACATCACATCCACTGTACATCGACGGCTGTGCCTACTACGAGTCAGTGCCCCCTACTCCGATCTAACCAGCGAGCCGGAAAATATTCAGCGAAACGTTGGGGGTCACAGCCCTCCGTGCCAGCCAGCCACCGCCACGGCCGCTCCTCCTGACCATCCCCACGTCGCACCGTCTCCCCGTGCTCCCGGGCTAGGCGTACCTCACCAGCTCCTTCCACCCGAGCAGGTATTCCGCCAGCAACACGTCCCCCTGCTCGTCCACGCAACCGCGGAACGCGTCCAACACAGCCTGCAGGCGGAACGCTCCCCGCCGCTCCACCCCGCTCTCCGCGTCCGCCATAGACGCAGCTCAGCTGTGACCCTCGGCACGGTCCGCACGGCGGCGGTGACCTTTGCCCCGCTAGCCGGGCGACCCCCGGCCCGCGTGGGTGTGGAGCGGAAAGGAGGCTTCCGGAACACCCAGGCGAGGCGGCGCGATCGATTCAGGCCGTGACCTTTACACCGAGAGGCAAATTGTTCGGCGTGGTCTCCGGTCGAAGGTCCGGGCGCTACCGGGAATACCAACGTCGGCGTGTGCCAGTCTCCGCGTGTCATGCTGCACCGGATACCGAGATGGCGCGGCGGCTGCTTCGGGTAAACTGCCTCCCCGGACGGAGTTCAGACCACGACGTTTTCTTCCATCATAAAACAGATTTTGTCATCGGCGTAACGACCGGAGACATGCAGCACTGATGAAAGCATGCAAAGATAGGGGCCGAGATGTCCCTGTTTCAGCGAAGTGAAAGCTACTCGGGGAGAGGGGGGGGGGAACGCCGGAGACAAGAGGTGCGAGAAAGGACGGCGTTCGACGTTAAATATCGAACATCTTTATTGGATGAAGACTGTGCTGGTTAACCACAACTCGTACACCAACCTGACGAGCGATCTCGCTATGGTGGCACAAACGCAGCGAACGATCATCAAGCGCACGCGCGCACGCACACACAAGCACACACACGCACACACAAGCACACACAAGCACACACACGCACACACAAGCACACACACGCACACACAAGCACACACACGCACACACAAGCGCACACACGCACACACAAGCACACACACGCACACACGCACACACAAGCACACACACACAATACTGCTCTGGTATAATATTGCCTTCGCGGGGGATATCGGCAGCGATGCGGAGAAAAGCTGGCACGCAACCAATGCACGGAACGTCTCAAGTCTCCGAGCTCTGAAAACTATGACGGGAATTTAATAAACTTCCCGGTCGCCCCGGCACAGATCGCGAGACGAGGCCACACCAATCCATGGCTCCGATTCCAGCCGCGACTCAAACGCTGGTTTACGCGGAATTTTAGCCGTGGGTTACACTGAGCCACGGCACGGCACCATGCCCTGGAAAGTTACGGCGCTGGCACCAGCCGCTCGGCCTCTCCCCCACGGGCATAACCACGGCCTCATAGGGTTAGGAGACGACAGCGTGAATGACAGAAAGTACAACATGTTTATATTTTGTCAACGTGACATTAGGGACTTCGTCGACGGCGTGCGTTTGACGACACCGCAGGAGCCAAGCTTTGTCGATGGGCGAGGGCATCCGTCGAGCTCCGCGCTCACAAGGAAACGCCGCACTCGGACTACGCCGGCCGACGATCGCTCGGTGCCAAACCGAACACGGATTACCGTGCGGGTTTGACCGGAGTCTCGCGCTAGCCGTGCCGAACGCTCGCCGTCCCGGCGGCAGAACGCGGCGGCGGCGAAACGGGGGAGCGGGAGCGTAGGGGGCAAATGGGGGAGCAGACAAAAGGAGATCACGGGCACGGCGGGGTGGGGGGGAGGGAGACCAGGGAGAGAAACTGGGGAAAATGGGGAGAGGAGGCAGAGAAAGGAGGGAGACCTGGGGTTAAGGGTCAAGGGTCACGGGTTAGGCGCGGTTGCACCCCAGCGGCAAGGCCGGCGACGGTAGTTGTCGGCGGGGCCCGTCACGTCGTGGACGCCGCGGGGAGTGGGAGGTGAGGGGGAGAGCGAGGGGGGGGGCGAGGGGGGGCAAGGAGAGGGGGCGAGGGGGAGAGCGAGGGGGAGTGCCAATGGGAGGTGAGGGGGAGAGCAAGGGGGGGGGGGCGAGGGGGGGCAAGGAGAGGGGGCGAGGGGGAGGCTAGCTGTAGTCATAGGCAAAGTCGAAGTTGCTCGGCTCTTTGGGGAGTGGCGGCGCCGTCTCAGGGATGGGGATGCTCTCCAGGTCCAGCAGCTGCAGCTTGATCTCCATGCTGAGCAGCATCTCCAGGTCGGTGCGCGTGTACTCGCTGCCCATCTCCTTTCCCAGCAGGGCGCTCAGCCCGTCCGTCCACACGCAGTACTGCTCCCCACGCACAAAGACAAAGACCCCCCACGCGGCCTCAGCAAACCGTCGTGGCAAGCGCCACTTGCGGCGATGTTTCACGTGCACCGCACCGGGTATTCGTTTGAGGCCGATTGGACCTAGGGGAAGCCCAGGACCCGTTGAGATATTCCGGGAGCGGGGCGGCGACCGAGTGCGTGCCACGCGCTCCAGCCGGTTCTGCGCTCGCTCGTGAACGACGAACGGGTAGATGGTGCGGCGCTCACCTCGTACTTGTTGGGGGCGATGAAGTTGAGGGCCTCGTCGGGGTCGTGGAGGATGGAGAACGCCAGGTCCTGCATCTCCTGTGAGCAACGCATGGCACACGTGAACACCACATGAACATCAAGCCGAAGTGCGTGTGTGTGACGAGGGAGCCCTTGCGGGCCCACATGGCCACTGGCGGTGACGGCGGTGTGGCGCGCTGTACCTTGTTCTGCCTCTGGGTGCTCTTATCCTTGAGGTGGGGGCAGTCCTTCCCTGTCACCACCGCCTTCACGTCGGCGATGGCCACTGTGGAATCCACGCGCACCGAGGGCAGCATAATCGCGAGAAACTCCTTTATCCGCCGCCGCTCTCGATCGTTCGGTGACAAAATCGGCTCGCGGTTTTAGAACTCGCGCGGTAAACAAAGATAAACACGCAACCCATTCCTCTCCTTCCCATATCGGTCCCTCCACATAAAAAAATAAGAATCTTTATTTTACAGGTCCCAGCCGACGAGACGCCGAATGTGGAAACCGGTGCACGGTTTGCGTGCGTTGAATCATTCCTGCTGCAATGGGCGCTCCCAGCAGGCCGTGCGGCAAACGGCATGCGTGACAAATGGTTCCGTGACCCGTGTCGAGGGACAGATGCGGGAAGCAGGCCAATGGTCTGCGTGTGAATTTTATTGTATGGCTCTCCATTACCCGAGGAAAGATCGTAGTTATGGGCGCTGGGTTTAAATATGAGCCGCTCCTCACTTATCAAGGATGAGCCACTCGGAGGCTCGGCAAACACGGGGGGGGAAGTAAACACACGACGCCGCCTCGGTTCTACGCGGTGGCTTTTGTTTTGAACCGAGCCGCCGCCGCCGCCGCCGCCGCCCCCCACGACCCCGGAGAGTGTTCAGCCGTGGCCCCCCCTCCGTCCCTGCCCCCCCCACCCTCGCCCCACCCCCCTCCCTCAAGGTAAGGCTGCCGGAAGGAGACTCACGTTTCTCCTGCAGGGCTTCGATAGACGGAACACCCGTCCCCTCCTCCACGTCGCCGTAGTGCAGCACCTTGTGGTTCTGCGAGAGCCGGCAGTACCAGTACTTGTCTGGGAGACAGAACCGCACGGCGGCGGTGCCGTTAGTACCGCCACTCGTAGGTTCAACGACGCACAGAGGTGCGCAGCAATGACTCTCTGTCTGTACGAACGTCTCTGTTCGGATGCGGTTTATCGTCATTTCGAGCGGTGATTTCAATCAGAGAGTCGCATTCCGGGGTCCTCGATTGAGGCCACTGCTCACAACTGTGCCCCAATGGCATGTGTCCCGTGTCCCACCGCGTCCCGTGTCCCATGTCCCATGTCCCGTGTCCCGTGTCCCATGTCCCATGTCCCACGTCTCACGTCCCATGTCCCACGTCTCATGTCCCGTGTCCCACCGCGTCCCACGTCCCGTGTCCCACCGCGTCCCGTGTCCCACGTCCCGTGTCCCACGTCTCATGTCCCGTGTCCCACCGCGTCCCGTGTCCCACCGCGTCCCGTGTCCCACGTCTCATGTCCAACGTCTCATGTCCCATGTCCCACGTCTCACGTCCCGTGTCCCACGTCCCGTGTCCCACCGCGTCCCGTGTCCCACGTCCCGTGTCCCACGACTCATGTCCCACGTCTCACGTCCCGTGTCCCGTGTCCCATGTCCCGTGTGGCTGCTGCACCTTGGCGGCGCCGGCTGCTGATTTTGCGGAACAGCGTCCCCTCACACAGCCGGTTGAGTCGCTGCTTCCTGATCAGGTCCAAGATCTCCGGCTGCAGCTTCTCCCTGAGCTCCCTGGGGGGTCGGGCGTGGGGGCAGGGGGAGAACACAGGGGAGGGAAGCTCAGAGCCGCACGCACACACGCACGCAGACTACGCTCCCCCGTACAGCCTGAACAGACTGTTGGGGCAAGCGCTGTTTGCGAGCACCTGTGAACCTCTGCACGGCACACGAGGGGGTCGCGTGGCTAGTAACTCGCCCGGCCGTCTTTGTCTTCCGACTGGTGACGTCTACCCACGGCACCAGGTTCTCAGTCAAGGCCGAGTCTACCGAGGCATGGAACCGGTTAGAATATGTCGCTTATCTTTATTCACGAGCCGGTCGTCGGGTTCGTAGCGGGGTGCGCTAACCGCTGCGCCACCACTTCCTACGCGTGCGGTGAAATCCCTCGCAGTGCCCACGCAGCGCCACCCCCCCCCCCTCCCCCGTCGCTGACAAAAGGTGGGGAACTGACACGATGGGCGCGGTGTGGGAGTCGCCCTCCTCCTGGCTCATCCTCTCCGTCTGGCGGATCTTCAGGATCTCCGTGTAGCTCAGCGACTGCAGCTTGTTGCGGAACTGGTCGAGAGACTTGGGCCTCGCGACGAGCGCTCGCACGATCTGCTCACGCACCACCTGCATCACCTGCGCAGGGGTCCACCGGCACCGGCATCATCACCTTCGCCTCCAACACCTCCACCGACGCAAACATCGACACCGTCGACGGCACCATTGCTCTGACCCGAGGATCGGCACAAGCACCGGCATCTGCGCGAGCTTCGTAAACGACATCAACGCGTATGCCAAACACCACCAGTGGCGCCACCGGCCATTATCAACATTTACACCGGCACCATCGACACCCTCGTAAAAATCACCGCCAGTACCATCGATTGTATCCTCAACGCACAGACAAGATCCATCAACATCTGCACAGACAGACACCATCCACACATACACACACAAACACCATCAACACCTACACAACAACCGCCATTCAACAACAACCACCATTCGCCACTAAGTGGCGGTGACATTACCACGACGCTTGTCCCAGGCTATGTGCACCGTGAGGCCACGTGAAGTGTCGAACGCCCGCTGGCAGGTCACAAGGCAGACCCAGCAGGTGCCACGGGTCAACTGAGATGAATGGCTGATGCACCACCTGTGCCCCCCACTGTGCTAACTGACTGTGCTTTAGCCACCCGGCGCTCCGCTCGTTGTTGTGAGCGTCGCTCCTCGGCCCTCCGTTGTTGTTGGAGGGCGACTACCTCCAATTGCCCAGCAGCGTCTTTCACGAGCCTCCTCCACAGAGGCCGATCTTGACACCGCTGGTACCAAATTTTGATTTAAAACTTTCGTGACTGCAGGGATTCATATTCTTGGTTCTTTCGGTAAAGTCACGTAGAAGGGAAACAATAAAATAATACAAATATAAAACAATAACATTTTTTCAAATTTTCTTTCTGTGGTTTTCACACCTGATGACGATTGCTTGTGTTGCAGTCGAAACGTCGTGAGAATTTTATTGTTTTATATTTTTATTATTTTATTGTTTCCCTTCTACGTGACTTTACCGAAAGAACCAAGAATATGTACCGCTGGTACCTGTCATTGGCAAGTCCACTCAGCTCCACATCCTCCTGGACCACATAATTCCATCTCTTCTCTAGCCCGTGCTGCGCCTGTTTAGCCCCCTCTATCCAGCCGAACAAAAGCTGTTTAGGCATGCGGTGATTGGGCATGCGGGCTACATGACCCAGCCAATGCAGCCTTGCCTGCCGGAGGAGCTTATCGATGGGACTTTGCCCAGATCTTTCAAGGATTTGTGAGCTCCTCACACAATCTAGCCTGGTTAAACCCAGGATGGATCGTAGGCAGGCCAGCCTAAATGTTTCCAATCGGCGAAGATGCTCCATTAGGGGGGTCCATGTTTCGCAAGTGTAGAGAAGGGAGGCAATGACCGTGGCCGAGGAGACTTGAAGCTTCGTGCGGAGCGACAGACCAGGTAGCTTCCACACAGCGTTACACAACCAATGAAAAGGTAATGCCGCTGTCAAAACGGAGCCGGTCATGAGCACACTGCCCAGGTATGGGAAACCTTCCACTATCTCCACAACTGCCCCATCACCGATTGGAAGTTGTGGGGGTGAGTTACCCAATGGTACAAAATACCAAGGCATGGTGCTTAGTTTTGGTAGGGGTGATGGTAAGGCCCCACCTCTTAGTGGCACGCTCCAGTTTCAGCAGCAGCGCCTCCAACTGCTCCTCTGAGTGAGCAGCAATTACCAGATCATCGGCATACATAACATGGTTGACCAATCGGGAGCCATCCCTTGACCGCACCCGGGCATCGATCAGCTTCCCATTGTATCTGTACCAGATGGAAATTCCTCTGGTACAGCCATCAAAGGCTTCACGAACTACGTGGTCGAAATAGATGTTAAATAATGTGGGAGCCAGAGGACATCCCTGTCGCACCCCAAGGTGAACAGGGAATGGCTCTGACTCCTGGCCACGTACAGTGAGGGAAAAAAGTATTTGATCCCCTGCTGATTTTGTACGTTTGCCTACTGACACAGTAATGATCAGTCTTTAATTTTAATGGTAGGTTTATTTGAACAGTGAGAGACAGAATAACAACAAAAAAAATCCAGAAAACGCATGTCAAAAATGTTATAAATTGATTTGCATTTTAATGAGGGAAATAAGTATTTGACCCCTCTGCAAAACATGACTTAGTACTTGGTGGCAAAACCCTTGTTGGCAATCACAGAGGTCAGACGTTTCTTGTAGTTGGTCACCAGGTTTGCACACATCTCAGGAGGGATTTTTCCCACTCCTCTTTGCAGATCTTCTCCAAGTCATTAAGATTTCGAGGCTGACGTTTGGCAACTCGAACCTTCAGCTCCCTCCACATATTTTCTATGGGATTAAGGTCTGGAGACTGGCTAGGCCACTCCAGGACCTTAATGTGCTTCTTCATGAGCCACTCCTTTGTTGACTTGGCCGTGTGTTTTGGGTCATTGTCATGCTGGAATACCCATCCACGACCCATTTACAATGCCCTGGCTGAGGGAAGGAGGTTCTCACCCAAGATTTGACGGTACATGGCTCCGTCCATCGTTCCTTTGATGCAGTGAAGTTATCCTGTCCCCTTAGCAGAAAAACACCCCCAAAGCATAATGTTTCCACCTCCATGTTTGACGGTGGGGATGATGTTCTTGAGGTCATAGGTAGCATTCCTCCTCCTCCAAACATGGCGAGTTGAGTTGATGCCAAAGAGCTCCATTTTGGTCTCATCTGATCACAAAACGTTCACCCAGTTGTCCTCTGAATCATTCAGATGTTCATTGGCAAACTTCAGACGGGCATGTATATGTGCTTTCTTGAGCAGGGGGACCTTGCGGCCGCTGCAGGATTTCAGTCCTTCACGGCGTAGTGTGTTACCAATTGTTTTCTTGGTGACTATGGTCCCAGCTGCCTTGAGATCATTGACAAGATCCTCCCGTGTAGTTCTGGGCTGATTCCTCACCGTTCTCATGATCATTGCAACTCCACGAGGTGAGATCTTGCATGGAGCCCCAGGCCGAGGGAGATTGACAGTTCTTTTGTGTTTCTTCCATTTGCGAATAATCGCACCAACTGTTGTCACCTTCTCACCAAGCTGCTTGGCAATGGTCTTGTAGCCCATTAAAGCCTTGTGTAGGTCTACAATCTTGTCCCTGACATCCTTGGAGAGCTCTTTGGTGTTGGCCATGGTGGAGAGTTTGGAATCTGATTGATTGATTGCTTCTGTGGACAGGTGCCCTTTATACAGGTACCAAGCTGAGATTAGGAGCACTCCCTTTAAGAGTGTGCTCCTAATCTCAGCTCGTTACCTGTATAGAAGACACCTGGGAGCCAAAAATCTTTCTGATTGAGAAGGGGTCAAATACTTATTTCCCTCATTAAAATGCAAATCAATTTATAACATTTATGACATGCGTTTCTCTGGATTTTGTTGTTGTTATTCTGTCTCTCACTGTTCAAATAAACCTACCATTAAAATTATAGACTGGTCATTTCTTTGTCAGTGGGCAAACGTACAAAATCAGCAGGGGATCAAATACTTTTTTCCCTCACTGTAGTTTTACCCGGGCCCACTCACCATCATGAAGGTCCTTAATGATGGTGAGCAGAGGGTCAGGGACTCCGAAAGCACGAATAGCAACCCAGAGCCCAGGCCTACTATGATGGTATCATAGGCCTTGACACACACACAGACACCATCAACACCTACCTACACACACAGACACCATCCACACCTACACACACACATAGACACCATCCACACCTACACACAGACACCATCAACACCTACCTACACACACACACACCATCAACACTTACCTACACACACACAGACACCATCCAAACGTATGCTAGCACGAGGTACACACCGACGCCACCTACATCACCGCCAGCGCCGTCCACCCCAGCCCTGGCTCGGGCATTGCGCAGTCCCCGGATGACGATCTCTCACCCCCACGTTTGTGACCGATCCAAATTGGAGAACGTAATGAGGTGCCTCGAGAAAGTGGCGATTTGCCATGCAACAGTGACGGCTCTCGCTCTCTCTTTCTCACTCCGTCTCTCTCTCACTCACTCTCTCTCCAGCTCTGTCTCTCTCTCCCGCTCTCTCTGTCTCTCTCCCGCTCTCTCACTCGTCTCTGCAATTTGCAGTTCGTAATGGAAAAGCAGATTAACAGCGCGGCGAGATGGGTGCAGGGCAGACAGCGGAGGAGGGAGCCGCTCGCTACCCACAAGATGATGCTAAATTTAAAATCAGTCACTCGGCCGAGTACGGTTCACGGTGGCTCGCCGAGCCCGGGGCGCACCACACAGCTCGTGTGGAACGCAATCACCGGGTGAGGGAGGGAGCGGTTGCGAGTTCAAATCTCGGTTGGGGATTGACTCAGCCCATCATCCCACCAGGGTTAATAAAATCAAGTACCCCTTTGTGTGCGGAAGTTAACAGGAGTTGTCACATGGATAAACTTGCCCCGGTCATAGGATTGTGGAATATCCACCACTGGCTCAGGGCTGTAAACAGGAGCAGAAAATCATCGTGAGTGCTCGTAACCGATTGGCTGTTGTGCTACGGTTAGGGTTCAGGCTAGCATCTTGTTGGCTAGAGTTCTCTGCCACCAAACTGTGGGACTCTACTCGCCATGGCAACTTGTGGCTCTACAGGCTTCAGCTGCTGCCGTGTACCCAGAGCCAGCCCTGCCGAGCGCCGAGCGACCCAGGTCACCCCACGACAGCAGCACCGCCGCGGACGGGCGCTGTGCCACTACCCGCGGCAGGGTCCGAGGGCGCCGCTCGATCCGGCGCAGCAAGCGGTCGGCGGTTATGGCGCTCGTTTGAACGCGCCACGGCTCCACGGCGCACGCCACCATGGGACCCCGGTCCCAGCGCCATTGCGGTCCGCACCGATCTCTGCGGTTTAACCCGACGAGGAGAGTCGCTCGGGAACGGTGAGCCGAGCGGAGCCGAGCGGAGCCGAGGAGTCGACAGCGCTCGCCCGTGCCTCCCACCCAGCTCGCTCGTTTGAACCCCGCGCCGCTGACACCGTAATTCTGCGACAATCGAAGCGGTCGTAA